GGGCCCTCTGGCGTCCCAAGCCAGTTCTTAACCATCGCGCCACTCGGCCCGCCCTCCACTTCTTACTCTTTAATTATTTCACTATTCAAATAAATTGTTTCAGCCTTGCATGTAAGGTGCAAGCATTTTGGGGAACAGTATTTTTGCAGTAGCACACCAAAATTTCCCAACTTTTTGCCTCTTCATTCCACTATTCCTTTACTCCCGTCTGCACTCGTTACAATCTCTAAGCTAAGGGAACACAGCTGGCTGCCAGCAGAAAATATGCCTGGAGTTCTCCCACAGATCCCTGTTCTCATAGGAAATATAATGAAGCATTGCCAGTTCATTGTTTTTCCAGCCTATTGTCTCATTTCCTTTAAAAGCAATATAATTACATCAATATTCTTCCTAATGTTTTTCTTTCCATCCAACTTACTCAAATTAGGTCCAATTTTCTTCATTCCCATCCTTCTTTTCTCTATCACTAGTTGTAAATGAACTAAAGAAAGATGCAGAACCTCACTTACCAGCAGGATTAAGGATTCCCATTTTTCTTTGACTTGTACTGTTTAGACATGAGCCTTGCCCATGGACTAGACTCTTCTTTTCTCTCTCTCTCCCTCTCTCTCTCTCCCTCCCTCCCCTGCCCTCCTTCCTCCTTCTCTCCCGCTCTCTTTCTCTTTCTTTCTTTCTTTCTCCCTCTCAACACACACACACACACACACACACACACACACACACACACACAAAGATAGAAACATTTCTCCTTATTAGTCTTTGAGTCTAGGACCTGAGACACTTTCAGATGGAACATGACTCTCATGCAGTTGGCACTCTGGCAAGAGAATAGTCACTTCATTGGGGGACACTCAGTGGTTTGGCAGTAGAATCTTTCAGATGTAGGTTATATAGGAATCACATGGCACTGACTCAAAGGCCTGCTTCTCACTCAGCTCACATGCCCAACCTGTTGATGTGTCTATAGTTTGTTTGTAGCACTTGGGGTGTGGTTACTGCTATTCATTTGTAGCAATAGCTGTTTAATACATACTCTGACTTCCTTTAAAGTCTATTTTTTTCCATTTCATGACTGTCATGAGAATAAAGTGGAAATATATAATATATGTAATAAAATAATATAAAATGGAAATATAAATATCTTCCTGTTGCCTAGCCATGATCTAAAAACCAGAAGCTTTTGAAAGGATGTCTGTTTAGTTGTGAAGGCAAACCCATGCACTTCTCAGAAAATCCCTTACTGACATTTTCTGTTATGTCCATGCCACTAACCTTTTCTAGCTATTAAAACCTAACTTTCCTATCTTGGAGGCTCTCATCAGTAAGTCACTCAGAAACCAACAATTCCTAATGAGTTTGATTTCAGCTTAGGGCTTTCCCAGAAATACTTTTCACTTAGGAAGGAGATCAGATTCACTGATTTTACTGCTCTCCCATTATAAGTACTGCCATTTTTCTTCCCAGGGATACAACAGTCATAAGCCACTCTCCTAATACTAGCTATGACACAGCTCTAGAAGCCCGCATCCAAAAGGAGGAGGAAGAAATCTTGATGGCCAACAAGCGTTGCCTTGACATGGAGGGCAGGTAAAATGTTCATCTGGACTGTGGTGTATCTGAGAAGTTGGTATGGATAACAAATAGGTCATTAGAGAAGGGCAAGCATCTTCATTCACAGCTGGGAAACCTGATCATGTAGCCTCTCCCCACCCCTGCTCCCCTGCCAGCCTGTTACTTAGGATTTGAGATGCAATGACCTTTAATTTGATCATTCCCACTCACTGTGGAATTCCACGTAGTGTTGCTTCTTTTCCCATTGGCTTTAGTAATTGCTTGCTACATGCCCTCTGCCAGAACTGAACTGTTGGTATTTGCACTCTGGGGTAATCTTTCCAGCACTGCACCTCAACACTGTTATACAGCAGAATGCTCAGTAAAAGAACATCCACTCATGCTGTACTTCATGTCTCTTATAAACTCATGATCATTTATTTATTACCTGGAGGTTCTGGCCCATTTATAGAAGTTCTCATCTTCTCACTGACTACATTGTTTCTGTGGACTCGGATACTTTATTTTTAAGATTTTATTGGGGAATTGGGTGAGAGGAACAGTGTTGGGGAACGGGGGAAGGGGACCAGCCAAGTTGTTCCTCAATCTTTGTTGTGGAGGGTGCCAGTCGCCATCTGGCTTCCTGTCGGCAGCTCGTGGCCTCTAAGCTCAAGGTGCTGTGTTCAATCTTAGTTGCGGGTGGGTGTAGCCACCATCCCATGGGGGAGTCGAACCAGCAGCCTTGTTGTTAAGAGCGCATGCTCTATCCACTGAGCCATCCGGCAGCTCAGCTCAAGGTGCCGAGTTCAGTCTTAGTTCCAGGTGGGCATAGCCACCATCCCATGCGGGAGTCAAACCCGGCAGCCTTGTTGTTAAGAGTGCATGCTGTACCCACTGAACCATCCGGGTGGCAGCTCAGCTCAAGGTGCCAAGTTCAGTCTTTTTTGTGGGTGGGCATAGCCCACATTCGAACAGGCAATCCTGTTGTTACACCAACTGAGCCATCCTGCCACCTGTTGGCAGCTCAACGGCAGCTCAGCTTGGGCACAGTATCATTGGCCCATGTGGGAATCGAACCGGTGGTCCTGCTACTCAGAGCTCACGCTCTTAAGGCAAGTCTTAACCAACTGAGCCACTCAGCTGGCCCTGGACTCAGATTCTTTACTATAGCACCTACTACATTGGTTTACTCTCATATATGGTCTTTCTTTTCACTGATGTTTTACTTTGGCTTCCTAAAGTTTAATCAACAACTCCTGGATGTTCTGCTCTGTTCATTTCGGTGTGCATAATGGCATTTAAAAAAATGTAGCACAGGCCGGCCAAGTAGCTCAGTTGGTTAAGAGCTCGCTCAAGAGTTTGAGCTCCGAGCAACAGTGGTTTGATTCCCAACTGGAGCTGAGCAGCCGCTGAGCTGCCAACAGGTGGCAAGATGGCTCAGCTAAAAAAAAAAAAGTAGCACACTTTCCCTTGTCTTACAACGCAGAAATAACTAGACCACCCCTTAGTCCAAAAGATAATGGAAGCTCAAGTCCATGTAGGCAGTGAGACCAGAGCATGGAGGTGGAAACAAGGTCTTTATATGTTCTTTGTCTTTGTCTTCTAGGATTAAGACGCTACATGCCCAGATTATTGAGAAGGATGCCATGATTAAAGTACTCCAGCAGCGTTCCCGGAAGGAGCCAAGTAAGACTGAGCAGCTGTCATCCATGCGGCCAGCAAAGTCTCTGATGTCCATATCCAACGCTGGGTCAGGCTTGCTCTCCCACTGTTCCACCCTGACTGGCACTCCCATCATGGAAGAGAAGCGAGATGACAAGAGTTGGAAGGGTAGCCTAGGTAATGACAGTAAATAAGGAAAATTAAAATTGTGTTTAAAGAGAGCCCTGACTTAGATACATGCAGCAAGGAAAAGGCGTGCTAGTCGAGCTGCTAGAGAAGAAGATATAGCAGGTTGGGCGATTGTCCTCCAGAGAGGCTAACTGTATATCAGGAGCTCCTTCAGCCTGTGAAGTCTCACTGAGAAAACACTGGTTGAAGTCACGGCTTTAGAAGATAAGAATCCTGAGTTCTATTTGGGTGGGAAGGAAAATAACTTGATCTCTCTAAAATATTCTCAGATTTGGCTTTTACCATGTGAGGCCTTTCACCTGTGTCCAAAGCCCGTGCAGCGTTCATGCCATTCGAAATCTCAAAATTCCAGCTTTTTCTATGTTTGTTTCTCCCATAAAGTTGGAGGACTCAGAGTTCTAATTAAACTAAATGAAGCTGGGTGGCAGGTGTTTGCTATCAGAATGTTCTGAGATAAGAACAGAATGTACCTTTTCATTTCTTCCCTTTCCATTCCTTCCCCTCTAATCAAAACCCCAGAAGTACTGTGGCTATGATGAGGCACATTGTTAGGACTTGAGGAGGCAAGCTATATACAGAGAGTGCCAAAAAATGTATGCACATTTTAAGAAAGGAAAACACTACTAAAATTGTAATACTCAATATATAGCGATAACAAAAGATGAATGTAAGTCACATTTGACTTCTGCAATTACAAGAGGTGCTCAGAGTGGTTACCATCAGCGTCCAGACACTTCTGATTACAGTGAACTACTGCTTGAGCAACACTGACCAAAGTGTCCACTTGTATACATTTTTTTCTTTCTTTGTTTTTTTGGCACACTAGGGATATATATATATATATATATATATATATTTTTTTTTTTAAAGATTTTTATTGGGGAATTGGGGGATGGGAACAGTGCTGGGGAATTGGGGGAAGGGGAACAGACAAGTTGCTGTTCTCTTGTTCTTCAGTATAGTTGTGGAGGACGTTGCTTCACTGGCCCAAGTTGGCACCATCATTGCGCTCTTCCTGGTTGAGGCAGATCAGTCACAAGCTTCTGGACGGCCTCTCACGGCAGCTGCTGGCCGCTCACGCTGGCTGCTGGCTACATACGGTAGCCAATGGCAGCCCACTGCCACAGGGGCTGCAGCCTACGCCATCGCCGGCAACACTCGGCAGCCCAGCTCCAGGTTGAGCTGTTGTTCAGCATCTTAGCTGTGGAGGGCAGTGTCACTGGCCCTCATATGTGGGATCCGAACCGGGGCCCTCTGGCGTCCCAAGCCAGCTCTTAACCAATGCACTACTCGGCCGGCCCACCTTAGGTATATTTTAATTTTAGCTTTTTGTTGCTTCTAATATCTTTCTTTGTTTTCTGACACTTTTAGCATACTTTGGCTAGAATAGGCATTTTGGGGACCATGGTCATAATTAGAACTTTAGATTACTCTATTATGATACCCACCTGTGACCATAGATCGTCCACCGATCCTTTCCAGCTGTCTGGTAATGGATAGTGTTGGTTATAAGTGGAACCTAGTAGAAGCATTCTGACAGCTTAGCGGAAATCAATCACCACTGGAGAAATAAATCAAAACACATACCAGGACACTTAAAGGTTTAATACGATGTGCTGGGGGTTGGAGAATGAGGACCAGAAGGGATCTGCCAAGTCTGAAAGAAACTTTTATCCATGGTGGGACAGGCCTGACAAACATGGCTGGGTTCGCTAGAGGATAAATAATTTACAATAGACGCATTCATATTTTTCCTGAACCTCCTATAAGGAAGAAGAGGTAATGGTAATGAGATGGCAGTATTTGAATAATCTATAGTTTTCTAACCTCTTTCCCCCTTTCCTTTGTAGGTATTCTCCTGGGTGGAGACTACCGTGTGGAGTCTGTCCCTTCCACTCCCTCACCTGTGCCGCCCTCAACACCCCTGCTTTCAGCTCACTCTAAGACAGGCAGCCGAGACTGCAGCACCCAAACTGAACGGGGAATGGAACCAAACAAAACTGCAGCTGTTGCTCCGATCTCTCTTCCTGCTCCCATTGCTGCTGCCACTGCTGCTGCCATCACTGCCAACGCTGCCACCAACACTGCCACTGCTGCCACCAATACCACCACCATGGTAGCTGCTGCTCCAGTTGCTGTTGCTGCTGTTCCAGCTGCTCAAGTTGCTGTTGCTGTCTCATCTCCAGCAACTGCTGCTGCTTCTCTTGCTGCTGCTGTTTCTCCAGCTGCTGCTGCTCAGATTCCAGCCACTGCCTCTGCTGTTGCTACTACTGTTATCGCTCCTGTTGCTACTGCTGTTGTTCAGATTGCTCCAGCTTCTCTGGCTCCAGTTCCAGCTGTGGCTCCCACTCCAGTTCTGGCTCCAACAGCAGCTCTGGCTTCTGCTCCTGCTCAGACTCAGACACCAACTCCAGCACCAGGTATGGCTGCTACTCCAGCTCCAGCTTCAGCTCCAGCTTTGGCTCAGGCTGAGGCTCCCGCAACTCCAGCTGTCGCTTCTGGACCACGTCGTTTATCTACACCAAGTGTGATCTGTAATCCAGACAAGACAGGTAATAATTCTCCATACCAGGTAGCTTTTGGTTCCACTCTCTCTTACAGATTTGCTTATTGGCATCTGCTGTTTGGGCATAGTTGGTCATTTGGAGGCAGGTTTTTCATATTTTGAAGGGGATTAATCAGGAGAGATAAAAGCAGAATCTGGAAATAACGTCTCCTATACCAGGATGGTAACCAGGATGAGTCAAGGCCATTATCCCAGTAGAAGTAAATACATCTTTAGGTGGTCAAGGTCGGGTGGCAGGCAAGTCTCATCTGGCCATTGACTTCATAAGGGCTCTGAAGCTGTCTATTTCTAGAAATCTGTGTTTTTATCTTGTTCCTAAGTGTTTTCTAACCCATTGTTTTTATTTAGATGGTCCTGTTTTCCACTCCAGTACTCTGGAAAGAAAAACTGCCATTCAGATCCTGGGACAAGAGCCTGATGCAGAGATGGTGGAGTATCTCATCTAAATGGACTAATCAAGAGCTGTGGCTTATCAACAACAATGCTTTTAATTATTTTTCCCTTTTGTTGCTCTTATTTTGAGGGTGAGGACAAGGGTTGTGGGGGATGTTTTTTAAAAGGGAATTTTTATTGAAACAATATAGTACTTAAGTAATAACATGAACTCCAGTCTATTTTGGTACATGTAAAGAGTACCTCTAAAGACAGATTAATCAGAATGTGCTCTAAAGGTTATTATTTGGATTTATACAAATACTGGGACTGTTAATAGATGGATATTCATCAGTGTTTTCAATATGCTTAAATTTGTTTAGCATTTCCATGTTTCAGATCTTTTTTTTTAATTGAAGAGCACACTATGTTTGGAAGACAGTGTGTAACATGTAGTTCAGAAGTGGGAAGATGGAGAGAATTTGCACATGGGGCTGTTTTGTAGAGTTACCATTTAGGCAGCATCTAGCGAGAGCTCTTGCCATGGGCTCAAGAGAGAGAATAGTTTGGGGAGCCATGTAAGCCAGAGGAAAGGTAGGGAGTATTGGGATGTGGAAGGGTGCTGGAGTTAATTTTCCCTCCCAATTTCCCAGCTACCCTGTGTCAGGGGATTGTGTTTATCTTAATTTCAGTGGTGCTTTTGGAGTAGATTCTTTTGGTTCCCTCATGGAGATTCATACATTCATGTGTGTGTGTGTGTGTGTGTGTGTGTACACACACACACACACACACACACATATATATACACACTTTGGAATAATTTATGTATTTGGATAATTAATATATTGCTTTCAGCTGCTAGGAGAGTAAATTAGCTGAAACTTCCCCTCGCTTAGGGAGTTAGACCATCAGAGGCCTTGATGGAGAGTTGCATGAGGTGCTTGTATGCAGACCTCTGTGGTCTGTGTCTAACCATGAATAGCTCACTTGCCTTTCCTGAGACCAGTCTGCTTAGTGTCCATTTCTTCTCCAGCACATATTCCCTGGCTGTGTCACCAGTTTCAAATTGCCAGTCATTTGCAAAATGAAGAAGCCTTTTTGGTGACAGGTTGACTGCCTTGAATTTCTGGTGACTACTTTGAAATAACTCATTTTGTCTTCCCAAATTCTTAGCCTACATCTTAAAAGGCATATTTGACTATCGCCTCCAAGGGAATAGCATCAGAAGCCCAAAGTACTATGCTGCAGCCGGGGCAGAGGTGGGCTGCAGCAGCCTCCTCAGCTACCTCTTCTCATGGCCAGTAACTCCATCTTGAAATACTTTGGGAGGGCAGTAGGAGGTGCACATATGGGCAGGGACCAAGGAAGCTATGGCTCCAAGCTTTGCCTAAGGGCTGCTTCCAGGGCCCCAGAAGGGCTGCCTATTGCCACAAGTCCCTGCACTGTGTCACTTCTCTGCCCTTCATTAAAGTGACAAATCTACCGACAGTGTCATTAAGATCAGTTTTCAGGGGTATGGGGGGAGGTAAGGGGAGTGGGGTGTTAGGTAAGGGTGGGGGATAGAGGCTTGGGGATGTGTTAGTTAGAAACCAGATTACTAGAAGTGTAGGTCTGATATATTACATTGTGAGACATGGTGGCTGGAAGGAACTTTAGCAATACTATAGCCCTACCCCCTCATTTTAGTGCTGAAGAATCTGATCTGACACCTGGATAGGTTAAGTGACCTTTTTCAAGATCACACAACACAGCTTTCCACTCTGACAAATACCATGTTTATTTTGGGATACACTTATATTACAAAAAAAGCCTCATTTTAAGAAAAGGTATCTTCATGGTCCACAGCATGTGTATTTTGTAAAATGTCCCTGGCTTGAGTAGCTTGTCCAGGGTTCTAAATTCCTATATTGTCTCCCCTGCAATGCCTGTTGCAAGGTTTTCCCTTTCCTGATCCTTAGAGTCACATGAAACATTCCTCCACCCCAAGAAATCAACCTCACTTCTCTTGCTATAAGATTGACTGTCTTGGATAATCTTACAGGGTTCCTCTGTGAGTACAGGAATGACCTACCATGTTTTCCCAGAAATAAGACATGGTCTTATATTAATTTTTACTCCAACAATCTACATTTATTCATTTATTCATGTACAAAAATATACATTTATTCAAACAGTCACATCTGGCTTAACTGGGGCTTATGTTTGGGGTAGACTATGAGCATCCTGAAAAATCATGCTAGGGCTTATTTTCCAGTTAGGTCTTATTTTCGGGAAACACGGTATTTAACAGCATTTCTGTGTCATTCCTAATTATCTTCCAAAGTAATTATTTTGTGTGTGGGGAGGGAAGAGACAAAAGGGAAGGTGATGTGATTTTTCAGCCAGTCTTGACATTTTCAATAATAAAGTGATCATCCTACTAATAAAGTGATTAGTCCTCAGTGATCAAGTGAATCCCAAATAGAAAATAAAAGTGCAGTTGAGTTAACTCTCATTCATACTACCTGTTAGTCACAAGGAAAAAAACCTCAAATAGTAGAAAAAAACTTCAGGACTGCTACTTTCTATCCAAATAAATAAATAAAAAGAAACCTTTCATTTACTCCTTTCATGATTATAACACATTGCCAGAAATTTTGCTAGCTCTGGGAACCATGATTTTAATCACATTCTGTAAGGTGACAAATGTCATACATTCCACACTGTGTCAGCCATCTCTTTAGGATCATGTATTTAGGGGAAAGGGAGAAGTTCTTGGCTAAATACTATTTTGAACTTAACACAACACAGCATCTCTGACCCCTCACACCAGAGGCAGTCCCTTTTGGCTCAGTTTTTAATCCCAGGTGATTTGCTAAAATAATGTTTTACATCTAAGAGATGGAAGAAGTCCACGTCAGTGTATTATGTTTACAAAGAATATAAATTAAGCCTTTTCAGAAGACCATTTTCAGAAAATCATAGGTGTCATTTTTAAAATTCAGGATTATGTGAGAAATCTCGTTAGCCACCTTTTCAAGAATGGATGTAACATTTGGGGGATCTTTCTGGACTCCCACCTACCTATGCATTTTACTGGCATCTCACAACAGGAGGGGGTGACCTTGTTGTCTTAACTTGTCCTGCCTGCTGTTCTCTGGGGACCTTCTAAGTCAGTTGTACCCCATGTTCCATGTACAGAAAAACTTCATTAGAACAAACGCGATACAAAATTCTTATTAACAATTTTTATTAAATAAAAGTAGCTTGAGCTTTCTTTTAAAATCAAGTATCTTGATTGTTTTAATGAAGATCTATTTTTAATGCTGCTTTTGAGCTTTAGGATGACAGGATAGCAGGAGCCTGAAATACCTGCTGTCATCTGCCATAGGAAACATACTAAGAGACCCATCACATTCTCTTTTCCTTATTACACAATTGGGTGGGTACAACAATTGGAAAATGAACAAACTTACTGTGCAAACTTTTTTTATGAAGAGCCTGAGCACGAATAATGTGGTAGCTTAAAGTGTATACATATGCACTAAGTTTTATAAATTATATTCTCATGTCTGTTAGCCATACAGTCTCCTGTTATCTCAATTGCTCATTCACATATGGAATGTGTTACTTAAAATGTGTTCATTCTTACTGAACATGTTTTCAAAGGAAGGCATCAGCTATGGGCTAATTGCCACCCATTTCAGCCTGCCATCATCCCTTGGAAATATATCTTCCAAGTGCCATCCATCATCAGTAGGACAAGTGTCCGGGAGTTTGTTTATTTTTTTCTGGTAGCAACGACAGGTTATATGAAGCCATCAAACCTCCTTCTGGCCTCCCTTGTGATTAATGACCTGTGTGTGTAAAATGGATAACTGGGGTTGGCAGATGGCTAGAGAAGACTCACCTTTGGTTTGAAATGCTTGTGGCCCCATTATGATTAAAACCCTATTCTGTAATTAACTGAGCTAGTTCCAGTAAAGTTAAGCAGGTTTGAATCCACGTTATGCCTATCTTTTCACTGACAATAAAGTTAGCTATTTTAAAATGCAGTACTGTGTGGAACATGCTTTGGTGTTTACCCAATAGATGCTTTATTTACACTGTATCAGTTATTGCTTTCAATTCAGTATGCAATAAAATTGCCTTTTAAGGGCAGCATGCAACAGAATTTGCATTTGCTTAAAGTATGGAATGTGATTATAAAGTATTAAGACACCACCCCTGGACGCATGCTCTAATTGGTTCCTTTATATATTCAAGCAGCATATAAAAAGCTTTGAATCTTTTTATCTTCTGATTCCAAGGAATAAAATAATGGTCACCCAAAGCACAGAATTCCTCATTTGGTTAGCATTTTGAAAGGGCTCTTGATGTTCCTTTGGTACTCTTGTTCTTATGCCAATTCATCAGTTTTGGTTGAGGGAGCTTGTTATTAAAAGCAAATCAAAACCACAAACAAGTTGGCTCTTTTCACTGAAAATGGTACAGCTGCCTTTACACTGCCCTGCCTGCACCTCCTGTTTACCACTGAATCCCAGCCTGACCAGAAGGATAAGATCTCCACGGGCTTGGAAATGACACTTTTCACAACGAAGTGGCTTGGGTGTTGCAAAATAAATGAGAAGAAGGTATATAATTTATTCTATATTTGATTTTTTTCAGTAAGTGGAGCTACATTATCTCCATAATTATAATGAGTGCTTTGAAAACTATGTGTGAAACCCCACTCCTCTTTTTCAGGACAGAGAAGATGGCATTAACTATACCTTCGTACAGTTTTGGGAAGCATTCCTTTCCGGATTATGTTGTGTCCAGTTCTTAAGGAGCAGTCATTTGTGGGGAGAATAAGCAAGTGTTCCTTCAAACAATGACATTGTAGGAGCATTTCTAGATATTATCCAGTATCATAACTGATCTGATTATCTGTGTGGTACTTCATATTCCTTCCTGTGGGCCTCCCCTACTATGATAAGTGATTTGCACAATCTATGAGTTACACGGTTGCCCAAAAAACCACCTCTTGCTTCCCACCTTCTACACTTCCACCTTATCCTGCAGGGAGGTTTTTATTGGAGGAAACAAGTGTAAGTGATTTGGTCTTGGAACACTTTCTACATTGATTGGCAATCACCCTGGAATTTGAGTGAAGACCACTGAATGACAGGACTTAGTTTCCAAAAAGAAAGATGTCCTCCACAACACCAGAATCTCATACCACATCACAAGTACTCACTCCTCAGATGCACAAACTGGCCAAGCCCAGGGTATTTATTTTGGCTCCCATATTTTTTTCATTCGCCTGTTGCCTCTACCAATGGTTTCAGGCGTGTGTGAGTTGTTGAATAACTACCTATTAGATGGTGCCATCATGTAAAAGGCCCTAAAGTTTAAAAAATTCAGTC